CTAAAGTACAAATATCTCACTGCTCAGGTTTTCCAATTGGAAAATTCATTGCTATAAAAAGGCAGGGAATGAAAAACAAGATAAAGATGTCAATATGCACATAGACAAAATTGATGCTTATGCACAATGCAGAGATATAGATATAGTTATAGATATAGATATAGATATAGATATAGATATAGATATAGATATAGATATAGATATGGCTGGAACACTGCAGGAGACCTTTCTTCGATGGTTTACTAGCTTGACCTGTTCAGGGTGCTCCTGCATACCAATAGCATACTGCACATTATGAAGATCTCACATGGGTTTCAGGCAACATCCACATGTATCCTCCAGGTACAATGGGTTTTTCCAACATTTCTCACTTTTATAACACCCTTCCTCCCTTCCCAAAGACTCCTTTCTATGGTCTTTGTCTGCTGTGCAAAGATCTCTCCAATGAACTTTGGGCAGCAAGCAGCCATTCTGAATTACCCACAATGCCCCTGACAGAACATCACTCCAACATTGTAGGATGGTGCTGGGTGGTCAACTGAACCTGATCAGATAATTACAGCTGCCGCTACTGCGATATGTGAGGTGTGATGGGAGAAGAAATTCTCCAGAAGGCATTTTGGTATCCCCTCAGAAGCTGGTTTGTTTATTCTAAAATAGCCTGTCTGGTTTTATTAAGGCAGCCTGTTCTGTTACCCATAATTTACAGCTTCTGAATAACCTTAAAAAGGGACATAAGCCACTTAGAACCTAAAACACACAGAGGTTCATTGAGTATTTACAAGCTATGGGGAATTTCCATATTAAAGCCCGAGATTTCATTGCAGCAGGTTGTAATTTGTGAAAGATCTATCTTTCAACATGCAAAGGGATGTTTCAGGGGTGGGGAAGATCTTTTTGAAGATTCCTTTGATTCTAATGACCCAACAGATGCTAGTGCTTTAGTATCTCCTTCTTCATCCTCCAACTGAAAAGCGGGGGGGGGGGACACATTTTGGAGAATTTTCAGACTTTCCTTCTTCTAGAGTGCTGTTCTGTGTATCATTTGATGGTTCTGTGACCCGTAATAAAGGATTCATTCATATATTTATTCAGCAACAAGATCCCTGGCTTTATACGAGCAATAATTCAGCACAGATATCAAAGGTTCCTCTTTGAAATAACCACATAGTTTCTGTTGGAAGGCTAAGCCCTAAAGATTGGATCTAAACTGGGGCAACATTTTGAATTTGGATTCAACTTGCTAAAACTCCACTTGCTTGACTTTGTGTTCAGAGAATCAAGAAACTGCCCATCGACCCTTCTGAATGGGATAGCTATTTCGACGAGAGCGGCCAGATCCTCAAATCACGAGACTTTGTGGCAGCCCAAATTTTGGAGAGGGTGAGTGGTCATTGAGAACAATAAGGAGCATGGTGGTGGTGGGAGGCTCAGAAGAGAAAAGGTCCATCTTAATTCTCCTCTTTACCATTTGCTGTATTTTTATCTGATCCCAGCCTTATCCCAACTTGGTTGCATTTCAGACTGCAGTTACCACAACCAACCTAGCTGTTGTACAGGCTTGATGGGAATTGTAGTTCAAAAACACCTGGAAGATACTAGATTGGGGAAATCTGTTTTATCCTTTAGTGGTCTGATTCCTATTTTTCGATCTGAAGGGCCTAATTTAATATGAAGGAATATCATGCAATATCTGCCCTGTCCACTGAAGTTGGAAGTATGAGAACTCAGAAAACCATCTAGAACTCATAGAGAACTAAACTCCAGGTCATAAGTATGTTTTCAGTGAGCTCCCTGAGAAGGCTGTCCTCTCTTCACCACAATTCTTCTTTTAATCAAGCTTGACTCTTGATCCTTTCATGCTCCCATCCACATTGTTCTTTTTTTTCATAACTTCCCAGTCTAGCTGATAGCCCTGGTATTCTGTGGTGGTCTCCCATCCATGCTCAAACCAGATCTGAATGTGCTTAACTCTTTCTGGGATCAGCTGAGATTGGCTAAGCTCTTCTTCCTGTTAGCATTCTCCTAAAGATCAGTTTTTAAAATACTAAAGCAAATTTGGGAAGATTTGCTTTGCCACAATAGAATCTGCCTGCCCAACCTGGTCATCTAGAGAGTTCCTGTTAAGAATCCCCACTTCCTGCAGGGTACATGAAACATGGACAAGACAGAGGGCCTTCTCAGTGTCAGCCCCGCTTTGTGTAATTTCTCCCCCTGCAGATTTCCATGTGGCTTCTACCCTTCCTGCTTTTCAAAACAACTGAAAAGTGTCATTTTCCAACACACCTCAAGCTCAAGCCAGATGGGGAATTGGACATAAGAATTTTATGTTTTTCCGGTCTTTATTGTTTTAATTTTAAACTTTACTGTCCACTACCAGTAAAAGTTGGAATTGGGCAACTTAGAAATATGGTCAATCAATCAGTGAAATAATAACCTAAATTTAGAAGAGTGGGAACTTTGATATGACAGTCCCCTTTTTCATGGATTCGTCACATTTTTCTGTGCAGGGAACATAACTTTTGACTGACACATGGGGCCAAAAATCAACCAGGGATCCAGCTGTCTTCGAACACCCAATTCATGACTTTTCTTCCTCAAGCATCTTTCTCATGTCTCCTCTGCAAAGGTGAGGTTGTCATGGAGATCAGATGCCTGGGCAACTTTAGAGAAAAATGCCTCTCTGGAGTTTATTTCTTGGTGGTACAAGTAGATTTGTCCAGCCAATTGGTTTGAGGTCAGGAGAATTTGCTTTTCTATGAGTAATCCAAGGGGCTGAGAACAAGGTCCATTGTTAATGCAGAATTTCAGGTGGAGACAATAGTTGTAGCATCTTAATTGTCCATGTTTTAATTGAACGAGTGGGATAATTTTTAATTTTAAAAGTCGCTTTTATGCATTACCAAGGATAATTCATTTTCATCCCATTTATCTTCTCTTTACATCAGAGCCACCTACTGCCTAGACAGATGGGGAATAATACTGTACAAGACAATAGCCTGGGAAAATGATTGACGGGCCCTACAAAAGTATCCTTAATAGAAGGAAGTAAATAAAAGAATAAGTAAAAATGCAGTTCACAGCCAGATTACAATTTTGAAAAATCAGCAAGCCTAGACATGTCATTAAAGCCCTATTATTTTCTAAAACAAGAACCCTGCCCCCCCAAAAAGGCAGCATAAATTACTTAAAACTGTAATGAGAAAGGAAATGGCCTACAGTGGAAAAGTATTTAAAAATCTGAGAGCTGCAAAGCTAAGTTGCAGTCTTGTAAACTTCAATCTTCATCTAACCCAGTGTTGCTCAACCTTAGCAACTTTAAGATGTGTGGACTTCAACTCCCAGAAGCTGGCTGGGGAATTCTGGGAGTTGAAGTCCACACATCTTAAAGTTGCCAAGGTCGAGAAACACTGATCTAACCAAACTGACTGGGGGATAATAGGACCTAGAGATGGGCAAGAATTTGGATCTGAAGCAGAAAAGGTGCTTCAGATCAGGATGAGCTCACCTGTTCTCAGCTGCACCATAAAGAGATTCCTATCTTTCCATGTTTCTCCAGGAGGTCAATGAGAAAAATTCCCTTTTGATGGAAAGGATGGAAAGGAAGGGAGAAAACCAGGGGGGCTACAAACTATTGGAAGGAAGATGGTATGGTGGAAAATGGAGCATTACGCACGCTTCTTAGCCTTCTTGTGACACCCCACTCCACTTTTTTGAGATGGTCACCAGAAGAATCATCTCTGGTGGGGGAGTAGGAGGCAACAGTGTCCATGGGAGAGAGGAGATCAACATCAGCAAGAAGGCAGATGGAACGTTGTGATGCAAGCCCCGCCTCTTTGGAACGGTGCATTCCAAAGGGGCGGGGCTTACATCACAACGCCCTGTCCACCATTATTATTGATATTTATTGATTTATAGGTCACGTTTACACCCAGGGCTGACCGCTTCAAAGAAAAACCCACAATAACCATGAAAGTTTTTAAAAACAAAACCAACAGACTAATCAAAATGCACTAATCTAAACTCCAAAAGGCATCTGGCATCTTGACGATGTTGACCCCACCCCGAGTATGCCACTGATAGGAATCAATTTCTTTCTTTCTTTCTTTCTTTTTTAATTCCATTTTTATGCTGCCCGACTCCAACTGACTCTGGAGGCTGACAGTAATAAAAGGCAACATTCTAATTTTTTTTTTATAAGGACTTCATTAAGTTATAAAAAGCATAAAGGTGAAAGCAAACCAATCATCGAGGAGAAAAGTAGAGGACAAGAGAGCTAGAGATAAAGAATATAAAAGTGATGGAAAGTAAGGAAAAGGGAAGAAAAAAAATACAAAAAGAATAACTTCTGACTTCTTATACAGCAGATATAGATAAATCATACAATAACCTCTTACTGTAAAACTACATCTTACACACATCTTTTGTATAACCTATTAATTTAACTAATCATCAGATCCATATATCATAATTTCATTGTTTTTCTGTCTCCTGCAAAAAGCCCCAAAGAGGCTTCCAACTGGCATTAAAGTTATCCAATTTTTTTCTCCAAGCAAAGCGGTCAACCTTGCCATCTCAGCCAACTCCATCATCTTCACCATCCATTCTTCCCTTGTAGGTAATGTCAAGTTTTTCCACCTTTGAGCATATTATAAAAAGCAACATTCTAGCGACTCTAATGCCAGCAGAGTGCAGGAGAGAGCCCCCCACAAGCCCACCCACGACATGATATGGCATTGGTGATAACATTGGAACAGATAGATAACAGAAAGAAAAAAGGGGTAATGCAACCCTCTGGAATACTTTGATAAACTGTTGAATTGACCTTACTGTTACTTTTCACACTTGGAGTAGCCTTCCTGAGGTTTATCCACACGTACCATAAACGTTAGTGTTTCTATTGCACTCTCCTGTTACCTCAACCCAGGTACGGAAGGGCAAACGTCTCATTCTGCCAACCGTCTCCAAACCAGGGTCGCAGCCCTGGGTGTTGGGTTGTGTATTTATACTATTTCCACAAAAAGCCACACCCCATAACCCTATTCTATATGCCTAATAGAGTTGGGACGCTCTCTACCACCCCAAGCTGGATAAATGTAGCTCATACCACAACTATACATTTAGTCCTAGCGTCTTTTTTTTAAAAAGAAAAAATGAAATTGCCAAGTTCTTCCACATCTGCCTCTCTTGTCTCTATTATGGAACCCCTACAGCAACTGCCCTTGGCACGAAGGAGATCTTCTGTTTCCCAGTCTCTAAGCTGGCTGCTGTTTTTCCTGGCAAAATGGTATGATTGTGTGTGTGATTGCTTCCTTAGGTTTAATTATGCTTTGGCACTTGGAATTCCACTTCTGGAGAAAGCATGACGTTGGCTACGCCTCCTGTCTTCCTCAAAGCATCCTTTGAAGGTTTTCATCAGGCCTGATATTTTCATCGGCCTGGTTATGAGCAAATTGTAGCCTTCCCAAACGTGGTGTCCTCCAGGCCTGTCAGAACTCCCAGAATCCCCAGGATAATTCCCAACGTTCTAAGCCTGCATGGACAAAAGTTGGAATTCTGGGAAATGCAGTCCCCCCACATCGGAAAGGGGCTAGGTTGGAGAAATTAAGCACAGAGAATGCATTGAGGATGCCCTTTTGGGAGCATAGATCCCAAAAAGGAAGGGGAGATCAGATAATTTTGATAGCAATCTCCGACCCTTGTATTAATACTTCTAAAGCCAGGAGACACCTTAAAAATGCATACTTACTAGCTGCCTATTGCTTAGTATGCGGAATTGCCGTGGCACAGGCACAAGGCAATGGAGGTATCAAAGGTCCTATATGGCCGGCCTTACATCAGAGGTAGGAATTGGAGGGAGGCAACCCCATGGAAAGGTGGTCATTGCAAGTACGAGCCATGTTCTATGCTTGTGTTAAACATGGATTGGGTGTCCTGGAAGAAGACAACAGCAAACCCCATCCACAAGTGAGCTGTTTCCATGGACTCATGGAGGTGAATATGATGCTCTGGAATGATGATGATGGTGGTGATGGCGGTGGTGGTGGTGGTTCTTATTTGTGCGTGTATGTGGTTCTAGGAACTTTGTAATTTCATTTTTAGTCTGGGTGCTTTATTCCTAGAATATATATATCCATTTGTCATTAACTGGCAAGAATCTGGTTGACTGCTGGGGGCACAAATGAAAAAGATAAATAAATCCACAAGGGAAGCCCCAGAATGAATGAAGAACACTTCCCCAACACACACATGCACCCACACATCAACAAGTGATGGGCTGGAAGAAGATTGTAAGTAACGAAATGGTTTACTCTGGAACAAAATGAATCCACATTGGTTACTCAAAACCCTTTTTTAGAAAACACACCCTAGGGGGCTAGGGGAAGAGGCTGGGGTGAGACTGGAATAAGAAACCTGAAGATCACCCTTTTTTGGCTCCACCTCCCTCCATTTTTTTAAACTTGTCTTTGTTGCAGGGTTTGGATCCTTCTGTCAGATCAGAAGCATGGAAATTCCTCACCGGCTACTATTCCTGGAGGAGTTCCTGTGATGAGAGGCTCACAACCGACAGCATGAGGCGGTGTGTAGATTGGGTTATGATGTGGTTAGTGCCCACTTTCTGCAGCCCAGCGTCTTCCAGATCCACTAAGAGGACTTCCCCAGAATTTGCAGCTAACACAGTGAACAATCTTGCAGGCTAGGAATTCTGATAGTCGTGTCACCGGCACACCTGGACAGGGACAGGGCTGCAGAAAGTGAGATGCTCTGCCAAGTTTCAAATCTACATCTTCAGTTAGTCAGTCTTGCCATCTATTCATCTCTTCCCCTTTGTAGGAAAAGTTATGAGTCACTGTGCAACATGTACACCAAGATCCAACCGCTGCTGGAGACCGAACATCGAGATTTCACTGAAGTCCAGAATGTCATACGTAGGTATCCAGGAAGGCTGGGAATAGGATGCATATAAAATTGGTAGTGAATATCATTATAATAAGATACATTTCAGGAAAAAATAAGGAAGAAAACTTTAAACATACTTAGGTTTTGGTGCACATTCTGTAATAAAATCGTAAATTAAGGCTGAAATGGGATGATGTAGGATGAAAGATTAGTGAAAGAGACATGGGATCAAAATAGCTTTGGCTATCCAGCCACATTTCTCTAATTCAACTATATTCCTTCCTTTCCTAATTACTTTTATGTGCTAGCAAAGACTCTAGAATCATCTCCCCCAATCTGGGACTCTCCAGTTGCATTGGTATGGCACCCAAAATCTACACTGGACAGGGAGTTGTGGGAGTTGTAGTCTCACGCAACTGGAGGACACCTGGTTTGAGATGGGCACTCTAGAACAATCTGGGAAGCAAAGGGGTGAAAAGGAACAATATAAGAGAAGAAAAGAAGGTTGCTGTTCATTAAGTAGCTGTAGGGATTTGGTGATTAATGTAGATATTTCATTTATTTTATTAAAGAAGCTGATCATGTCTGTTATGTCAAAAAGGCAAATTGGTCTACAACAGGACCGGAGTCACAGATGGGCCCCCCAAAAGCTTTAGGTATCCCCCTACAGGGCTTCTAAACATTGTTGCTGAATGGCTTCTGTTAATGCCACAGAAGGAAATTATTAAATATATGGGAAGTAATTCCATTAAAAATATTTAATTCATTTCTTTTTTAAACAAATTTTAATGTCAACGAATCTACTTTTGGTCTTATTCAGGTCTAGTTTTCTGAGTATAGGGTGCAGCAGACTGCTCAAAAACCAAGTATGGCTCTTAATCTGAACCAAGCCCAGCACTTAGAACTGTTGAGTTGAACCATCTAGCTCAACCCTCTGCAACGTGCAGGAAAATCATATGACCCATCCTCGAGGTGTGGCTGTCCAGCCTCTTCAAAACCTCCAGAGATGGAGAACTCACAGTCTCCATAGGTTAACTGCCCTACAGCTTTTTCTAAGCTGAGGCCTTTCTTGAAATTGATATTTGCATGACTCGCCCAGTTCTGTTTCTGGCTAGGAAGGAAGGAGCTGAAGGAAGGTGGGAGAAGCTTCTTATAACCTAGCTGCCTCGGTGTCTGCTCTTTATTTGGAGAGCAAAGGAGTGAATGAATGGGGCTTCTCCAAAGATGCAACAATAAAATCCAGGATCAGGGATCTGTTTAACCATGATTAGCATATGTCATATTCTATAGTCATTTTTCTACTAATAGCTTATAAGTTTCTCTACACTCATCCAACCATCTTTGTGCTAAAGGAACAGTAATGTGAACAGACTTCACATGTCTTCAGTGGTGGCTTGGTAATGCAATGAAGATGCCATATGCTACCAGTGGGAAAGTGACCTTTCTTCTTGCCATAAGGTTCCAGTTAAGTGACTAAAAAACAAAAGGAGGAAGGAGAAATATTTTCAGTGGCACACCTGCTACCCGTTTTGCAACGTTGTTCACATATGCTATTCTTCAGCCATTCTTTAAAACTAGTCCCCACACGCTGTTTTTGATGCGACCACTTGTTAAATGCTTTCTCCTAGCTTGAAAGTTGCATTATTCTAGAATGAGATCAATAGTCCCCAGAGAGAGAAAGAGAGGCAGGAATAAAAAAACAAGCCAGAAGGTGGAAAAAGGAAGAAAAACCGGGAGGGGAGGGGAGGGGGAGATGGGGAGAGAGAGAAAAGATAAGATGTAATTTCGGAAAGGCCAAGTGGAAAAACACCTAAGAATCTATGTTCTCAGATTGGATACGAAGCCTATGATGGATTATTATAATTGTATTCAGATCCCCCCTTCTGTCTTCCCTCAGCTGTCTAACAAAAAGAATATTAAACGATACAGCAAAATTAAGGCTACAGATCAATGAAACGGACATAAATCAACCCAAGCGAGACTCAAGGAAGATTTACAACTTAGGTGGGACGCAGGCCAAGCCCTTCAGATATAATAGATATTCCCTCTTGATGGAGGATTCTTTAAACAGGTCACATACTGGGGAAATGTTCCCCTTTATTGCTCGTTCTTCTCCCCAGCATTGGAGTCAAATGAAATCATTTCCCACTTTTATAGAAAAAAAAAATGGCATGTTAGATTGCCGCTTTTCAAGCGTTACACGTTTCAAAGCCACTTGGGGGTTCAGTATCTCTCACCTTCTACGCTTGGAGGTTGAAATATCCTGCTTTGTTTTAAATTGCCTTGCTGTTGGTTCTTTTATTATTATTTTACTTGCTCATAACGATCAATTTCAGCCTTCAGTGAGGGACTGTTTAACTTTGAGATGTGCTACTAAATTAAGAGGTGCCAATGAGCAGCTGTTATTGGCACCTTCTTGGTAGCTCTTCCAGGAGCAATTGTGATGCTTAA